CGGATAAATATGTGTTTGTACATTCATGCATACAATGGAATACTCAGCAATCATTTTTTCAAATGAGGTAGACAAACATGGACTGACCTGGAAAAAATATCCATGACTGGGAATAAGTTGAAAATTTGTATGTATATTTTAATCCACTTTTGTTTAAAATAGAGTTTCTCAACCTTGGTACTACTGACATTTTGGCCAAATAACTCCTTGTTGTGGGGACTGCCCTGTGTATTGCAGGATCTTTAGCAGCGTCCCTGGCTTCTACTCACAGATGCCAGCAGCACCCTCTTCTCCACCACAATTACAACAATCAAAACTATTTCCAGACTTTGATAAATGTTCCCTGGGGATGGGGAGAGAGGGCAAAATTACCCCCAGTTGAGAACCACTGGTTTAAAATAATGACATATAGACAACTTAGGTTTGCAGACCATAGAAAAAAGTCTGGAAGGATGCACCAAGTTTCAAACAGTGGCTCCACTGGGAACCAGGATTGATCAGGGAAAACAATGCTCTCTTTTCATTTTATACACCTCTGTACTGTTTGAATTTTTTTGACAAATATGTATTTCTTCTGCAATTAAGTAAAAAAAATCTATTTCCACTCCACTTCCACTCACAGACATACACATACACAAAGAAAAGAATGAAAATAGCTTGTATCAAGAGACAGTCAATCAGGACTCATAAGACAGGCAGACAAGCCTTACCTGGGGAGGGATGTCCTAGAAGAGGACTTACGAATGGGACACCATGGTAACCAGAGCTCATCGACCAATCATCTGGAGTCTCACCAAGCCACAAGAGACAGTCAATCAGGACTCATAAGACAGGCAGACAAGCCTTACCTGGGGAGGGATGTCCTGGAAGAGGACTTACGAATGGGACACCATGGTAACCAGAGCTCATCGACCAATCATCTGGAGTCTCACCAAGCCACCTGGAGTCTGAGAGACTGTGAACTATGTGGGAAATGTGGAATCCTGACCTCTGGTTTTCAGTTTGATGGGAACCAGTGTCTTGTACCCTGTGCTTCAAACTTTTCCTCTGCTAAAAGGAGCATCAAGCTTTCCACAAAGACTTTAGGAGGACATATATTTAAAGCAGCATCTACAAAGTCATTTCCCCTCCACCAGATTTGGTACTACATAAATAAAAGATGGAATTCTTTTTTTTTTTTTTTCCTTTTTTTGTCTTTTTTTACTGACCGGCAACGGGATCACAACCATCGGTGTTGCGCCCGCACCGCGCTCAACCAGTGAGCGGGAACCGGTCTCCACATGAGATCCGAACCCTCGGCGGGAGCACCGCCGCACTCCCAAGCGGCGCACTCTGCACCACCGGGCCGGCCCCGGAATTCTCACTAATATTGGCTTTTGTGATTTTAAAGCTTTTTTAAAAAAAATAAATGCCGGGCCGGCCCGGTGGTGCACTGCGCTAGTGCGCTGCTTGGGAAGCGCGGCTGCGCTCCCGCCGAGGGTTCGGATCCCACATACAGACCGGTTCTCGCTCACTGGCTGAGCGAGGCGTGGGGGCAACACCAAGGGTTGCGATCCCGTTGCCGGTCCCGGTCCGGTACGGGGGCGACACTGAGGGTTGCGATCCGTTGCCGGACACGGAAAAAGACAAAAATAAATAAATTAATTAAATAAATAAATAAATAAATAAATGCCTAGTCTAATTTAGACATTTCAGATTTAGGAGAATCTCAGAATGTTTGGGCTTCTTCTTAATATTGAAAGAATTCCCTCCAGAAAGATTTCTGCAGATCATTGGTATCTCGTGAGGAAAACAAAGTTAATCTTTTTCTTCTTTTTTTCACTTTTCTAGCTGACAGACTGCTCTGGAAAAATGGTTAAGATCTGTTGGGAAATTATAAGATAAACTAACTACCACAGCTAATGGTTGTGATGCTTTCCCCACTGAATTAGTTGGAACTCATGCCAAGTTTCCTAACAGAAAAAAAAAAAAAAAAACCTAGATCTTGTAGAAAATAAAAAACATTTAGTCCCTCTATATTGATGCTAGCAAATGACAAATCAGGTATCTGCTCCAATATCTCCACCCAGGTACAACTACATGGTGCTGAGAAATTATGGGTTTTGAACAATATTTTGAAAACTGACAAGGGAAATCTCCTTGCCCATCTATGCCGGTGTTTTAAAGTAATTTAAGACAGTTTGTGAATCAAATTATGAATCAATTCATAATGATTTATTTTTTATATTCTTTTTCATTATGTTTATTTTTTTCTTGGCAGAATAACAACACTGAGAGATCCATTTTTGACTCCCAAGCTACCCATGAACATTTTAGTCACAACTTTTGGACCAATTTATTTTCTTCCCTGATTTCAGCCAGCTTCTTAAAGCCATTTGTACTGATTTGGTGATGTTTTACTTCTTTCCAATTTTACCTTTGTTTATCAAAGCCCTAATGTTGTGCAATTAGTTCATCAGGAAATTAAGCCTTCCCTTTTTTCATTCCCTTCTCTGAATCTGAAGAGCAAAGCTCAGGATTTGCCATTGTCAAGACTCTAGAATCACTCTACATACAATTTTTTTTTTTTTTTTTTTTTTTTTTTTTTATGGCTGGCTGGTACAGGAGTTGAACCCTGGACCTTGGTGTTATCAGCACTGTGCTCTAACCAACTGAGCAAACCAGCCAGCCTATATACAAATTCTTGAAACAAAGACAAAGCAATGTCTTTCTGGTCTGCCCTGCACACAGCACAGCAGGCTCCGGTGGGGCAGGAACCACGAAGCAGAACATCATTGTCTAACTACGCCTCTAGTGTGGTTTCCCTGTAGTCTGTGCCATTCCAGAGCAAGGCATGCTTTCAACAGAACTCTGTGGCACACTCAGGGACGTACCCACTCTGTGACCATGGCTTCCATCTGCATCACGTGCAAGGAAACATTCATGAAAATTAATTGGAAAAATGTATGAACTTTAGAGAACGATGGTAGACCAGGCCCTGACAGATGGCCACAGAGCACCTGTGCATGCTAGGTAGAAGTGATTGTAGTGCACAGCTGGTGCTCTGCCCTTGTGTCTCTTTTCACTGTTTCTGTGGCCCTTTAACCCCTTCCCCTGTTCTATGGTGTTTTGCTTCCAACGGCCTGCATCTGCTCCTCTCTTTCAGGGAACTGCTCAGGAGCTACTGGAATCACTTTGCCCACATGCACAGACAGCCAGGGGTGCCCAGGGTTTATGTCCTCCTCCTCCTCTCCCAGGGCAGCCCTTAGCCAAGGACTGATTGCTGTGGAGATATGAAAGCCCAGCTCCCTTGCCTCCAAGCCAGGACATACTCTGAGAAGTAACTTACATTCCAGATCTCACTGCCAGTGAACGTTCAGGCTGGGATTCTGCCTGAATCACACCCTTACTCAGCCTCCTTCCCGCCCCCCAAGTCAGCTTCCTCGCTCTCTCGTGAGCTTTCTCTGGGGAACTGTCCTCCACATGTCACTTGCACACTCATTCTCATCTCAGGACCCACTTTGGGGAACCCTGCCTCAGACATTACCTATCTTCCTTTGCTCTCCCCCAAAATTTGTTTCTTCCTGTTCTTCTGCACATCTCATTCCATGCTGCTAGGTAGTTGTAGTCTGTGACACCTGTTTTGGGTCTCAAACTTCTGTTAGGACACAGCCCGTAACAGGATCTTGGTTGCCAGACACCATTGATAAATGATTTCTGGTCATAGTGTTTAAGTTCCTCTTCATAAATGGCACAATCCTGAGTGCTGCACAGCTGGGCTGGACAGTCCTAGTGCTACCATATGTAGTGGTTGGCATAGCCTCTTCCCAGGGACAAAGGATTTGCCCTGTGAGATATATGTTTAGATTTAGCAGGTTCTAGTTTCTCTTCTCTGGCAAGAGTTTGAAGCTAATATCAGAGGAGTCAAGTCCTGCCTTTTCAAGAAAATGAATTAGAAACTCCCGCCTGATATATATATACACAATAGAATACTACCCTGCCATGTAAAAGAATGAAATTCTGCCATTTGCAGCAACATGGATGAACTTAGAGAAAATTATAGTAAGTGAAATAAGCCAGGCACAGAAAGAGAGATACCACATGTCCTCACTCATAAGTGGGAATTAAAAAATAAACAAATAAAATTTTAAAAAGATACAATAATCACAATAATTCGTTGAACTTTCAAAAGGAGAAAACAGAATTGAGGCCACCAGAGGTGGGATGGGGGAGGGGGTTAGCGAGAAATTGGTAAAGGGCCACAAAAAATGATCACATTGCATAATGCTGAGTATACTAATTGTAGATTTGAGCATGACATATTACACACAGGTATTGACATTAAACTCTGTACCCCACAGATACATACAATCAATTATGTTGCAATAAAAAAATTTGTTTAATTAAAATTTTTTTAAAAGAAACTCCTGTCTGCTTTGAAGTGGGTCCTTTGTCTGAGTTGGTTTCTCCTTGTTTTTGCTGTTTGGTTGACCCCAGGATACTGAGGGCTATTATTGTTCTGCTTTTGACTACTGCCTGCAAGAACTGGACAACTTGGGGAACTCAATGGGACAGCCAGGCTCTGGCTCAGGAAGGAGGTAGAGTGAGGGGGAACTCGAGTGATGAGAGTGAATGGAGAGCTATTCTAGAGACAGAACCTGTGGAATTCCATGGTTGGAAGGATTTCTTTCTGCTGTGATTCCTCTGTTCTGTCCCACCACCGGCAACCCCATTTCCTTCCAGGCCTGCTCAAGAGCTACTGCAGAAGAAGCATGGACCTTGTCTCACCAGCTCAGGATAAGTTCCTTCAGAGAAAGACAAGGTATCCTTTTTTTTCTGCATTTCCCCAGAGCCCGATATATAGCAGATCCTCAATAAATGTGGGTTGGTTTGTCTGTGACTCACCTAACCTCATCCCATATTTCCAGGATGATCATGTAATTGTCATCCAACTCAGGACACCTTGAACCAGAAAGAAGGTGCTATTAATAGCTATGCCCAANGAGAGCTATTCTAGAGACAGAACCTGTGGAATTCCATGGTTGGAAGGATTTCTTTCTGCTGCGATTCCTCTGTTCTGTCCCACCACCGGCAACCCCATTTCCTTCCAAGAGCTACTGCAGAAGAAGCATGGACCTTGTCTCACCAGCTCAGGATAAGTTCCTTCAGAGAAAGACAAGGTATCCTTTTTTTTCTGCATTTCCACAGAGCCCGATATATAGCAGATCCTCAATAAACGTTGGTTGGTTTGTCTGTGACTCACCTAACCTCATCCCATATTTCCAGGATGATCATGTAATTTGTCATCCAACTCAGGACACCTTGAACCAGAAAGAAGGTGCTATTAATAGCTATGCCCAAACAAAATGCATAAACTGAGACTGTCTCTGGGAAACTGGGGCTCATGATCACCCTACGTATTTAGCACCCTCAGTGTAGGGCTTCCGACTATGTAATAACACATTCAAGTTCTGAATATTATTTGAGGTCACTGTATCTTTTTGAAAGGTTTTTATAGCAGGTGAAGGTAGGACATGTCAATGGGCAAACCTGAGTAATTCCAGACAACTTGACTCAGAAGCAGGCCTGTCCTTCTGAGAACCACTCAGTGTGAGTGTCCACACCATGCACCATCTTGGACATGCCATCCTAGACACCATGAAACAACAGGCCATGCAAGCTCCCAAAGCCCTCTCCAAGCCAGCCCACATGACACCCTCACTCCCACCCGGGAGACACACTCACGATTTTCACAGTGCTGCCCAGTATAGCCTGCCAGGCAGGCACACTTG